CAAGGAAAGTGACTGATGTTTCACTAACCTCCCACGTAAAGTCTAAGGCAGGGTGAAAAGAGTTAACAAAAGAGATGAAAGAATCCAAGTCATTAAAGGAAAAAAATCAAAGCTCTTGCAGCTCTAAAGTAATTCAAGTACAGAAATAGGTTGAATTTCTGATATTTCTACACTTTTCAGCTCTCTCAGCTTTCCGCTGTTTCCGTTTCAGCTTTTTACCGCGACTCAGGCAAGACCTTATATTTTAAAAACAGTACTTTTTACTCGTAAAATCGACAAAACAATAAAACAAATTAATAAAGCATCACACATCTCGTCATAATCATGAACAGTGCTCTTCACTATAGGCAGGTATTGGAATATTTTGAGCGGCCTAGATATTTTTCATCTTTATTTCGAACTGAAATCTTAGGTGATTATAGCCTGTCTGACTGACCCCTCGCTGAAGAATCCGCAATAAAGTATTTGTGTTGCCGTATAGCAGTTAAGGTGACTCCAACATTAGTAAATTCATCGATTGATTTAACTAGCTCTTATTTTGTCAAAAACAATCGGATATTTCCGAATTTTGCTCATATAGGAGATCAAACATTTAGCCTTTCAAACGGTGTATTCGATATGTGTTTTTAGTCCTTTTTGACATTATAATTAGGGGCCAATTTTTTGTAACATTGCTTCGTTATTGTCCTTCTGTTCGCTTAAAAATCGATAGATTTCCATGAAACTTTATATTCTTGATAAGCAGATCATTGTCATACAAATGTGAGAATATGTGGATCATTGTTATAATCACTCTGTCTGCCGAGTTTGGGAAATTAAAATGTTGGAGTCACCTTAGTTAGCGACTATTTTGTTTATAGTTCTAGTATTGTTTTCGGTACCAAATCTAGCCTTGGGCTCAATTTAAAAAAAAAAAAAAAAAAAAGAAAAATAAATAAAATAAATAAATAAATAAAAACGATACTGAGAGACGGATAAATATCATATTTAGTTGTTTAATAATGGAAATAGATAATAATGAATAATCACTTTGACAGACCAGAACTGCATGTCAGCACACAATCGAAATCACCTGTATGAAATAGAAAATATAGAAATATGAAATTTAGTTTTCAGTTTCTATAAACTTTTCTCGAATTTTCTAAAACCTATGTGATATTATTGAAACTACGGTTCTGACATAGAAACTAAAACCAAGGTGATTCGTTATATATATGTATGTATTTATTTTGCGGTTCAATGGCCAAGAGTCAGGTACTAGCTTTTAAAGTCTCTTTATCATAAAGCTCCTAATTGAAATCATGTTCTGGAGGCATTTAGCAGCAAAACTCCTTTGTAAGTCAAAACACGAATTTCAAGGTTATAGTGTTGTTTCCTGAGTCAAAGGAACCATTTTAAAGCTCTCGATTATTTGTGCTTAATTGTACAATTGCATCAGTTGGAATGGCCTATCGCCGTTGGCCTCATTGCTACGACTCCGACAACTTTAGTTTGAATAATGTCACGTATAAAAAATATTTTTAACGACTGAGAAGGTGGGGTCATCTTGTTCCCTCAAATATGATATGAAGCCTAATGACTTTGTAGCAATAAAGGTCAGCTTTAACTTCTTATTTTCCTCATATAAGCTGGCTTAGTATTCTATCTACATTGACATCCTTAGTCTATGTTTAAAGGAACTGCCATTAATTTCAAGGTTTGAGTCCATATCCGTTTTCGTAACTTTTAATTTTGCATATTATTCATAATGCAATTTTGATTCATTTCCACATAGTTTCATGCCTGTCTCATTTGTCGACTAGCATCAATCGAAGAACTGAAATATTAAAAAAAAACATTGCCTGTCTCGAGGGAGATGGATTGACTGAATTAAAGATTTTAGAGGACTGGAGGATTAAAATCTTTACTTTAGTCAAAAATCTCCTTCAATATATTGTAGAAGTTTTGAGTAGGGATGTCTTTAAACTATTTTTAAAGCTTTTAACGTTATTTAGGAGATCTTGACCTAAAAAAGTAGCTATTACCATTAATTCTAATCGGCTTACCTTTGTAGCTTTGCAAAAGAAGGAATTAGAACGAATAAAAGAATATTCAGCAAAACCTTTTCATTCATCTTGGCGTTCAAGGAAGACGTTATGCTGGAAAGTAATGAAATAATTTTCTTACTAAGTATATATCATGGAAACACTTCGTTGCAATTGCAGACTTGTTAAGAACAAGTGACTCATAATTTTCATGGTCTTTTCTAAACTCTCATTATAACTTTTTCTCAGTAGTATTTATACACGGAAATAAGAAAGCTATGAAGGCAATCTAAAAAATACAGGCATTTGCGATCAATACTCACTGTCTCAATGTTTTCAGTAGCAGTGAATTTTGACGGTCAAATGATATTTTAAATTCGAAATATCCATGGGTTCCTGCTATTTGACAATTTCTTATGGTATAATATCAGTAGCCTATATCATGGTTGCAAAACCTGTTAGGCTTTCCGTCCACTATGCAATGTGGTAAACGATTCAATTAGACTAGAACAGAATATCGATATATATTCAAATTAAATATATACTATATATATATTTGAAATTATAGCCAGGTGTCATGCTTATAAGAATTTTACTTGTTTTCTCTGACTCTTGAAATGTTTACATATGCATGTTTCTTTCCTTGTGATAGATCTTCTTCAGTATACGATGTTTACATTTATTTCAAATTATAAGAAACTATACGGGCTGTTTGGTTATATCACAACTCTGAGTCATCTAACAAGCATAAAATATCTGATAAGTCATTCATAGCTTGCGGTATGTTCTTCGGTTAACGCTATCATTGATAACCCTCGTCCTATCTTCAAATACAAACTTTTGTGTACGTTATTAAATTTTGAAATATATTTGTATTTTCTTTCCGATAAATTCCTGTGAATATAAAGAGTTACTTTTTTCAAGCTTGGCATAGGCGTAGGAAAGATGTGGCATTTTTTTTCTATATTTCTTTCATTAATTTTGAAACTGATCTCCAATTACCTTGAAAGTGGTTTCTGCGACCAAAACCAAAATCCCTCAGCAATCTTACCGCAAAAAATCAAGCGATTTATGAGATTTATGAGACTGAGAAGAATTCAAGCTACTTATCTCTTACATATAAAAAAATTCTCGAAAACTGAAAAATGTGGATTATGAAAAAAAACAAAAAACAAAAAACAAAAACAAAACAAAACAAAACAAATAATAAAATGAAATTAAAAACACGGAAAGATGAAGCTTAAGACAAACTTTTTAACGAGGAAAACAATGGGAAAAAAAAAACAAAAAACAACAAATAATAAAATGAAATTGATAACACGGAAAGATGAAGCTTAAGACAAACATTTTAACGAGGAAAATAATGGACGCGGGATCGAACGAGTATCGAAAGTCCCTCATCAGTAACACTAAATCGAAAAGGCTCATCAGTAACCAACTCGAACAAAAACGAAATTGAAAAGCTAAGCATGGAAAATGAAACTGTACACGTGCGCTAATGTAATAGCATTTGCTATAGAAGATAAAATCAATAATTTTGGGTAGGAGAAAAAATTAAAATTGGTTATAGATTAGAAAATAATCGTAAAATATCTCACCTCTTTTGTTTTGAATTGTGCGAAGTTTCAAAATCTGTTTACTGAAATAATTTAGACTATATTAGTCATCACGATCGACATCAACCTTTAGATACAGGTGGAAATATATATAACATAAACGGAATAACTGATAAGCTTTCTAAATATATCAGTGAAATATATATATTCATTAGTTAATAAATATTGTCAGTGACAACCAATATTTCAAAATAGGCCTTTGACTAACGGTGCAATAAACAAACACAATCGACCACAGTCGAATCCTCAGTAATTAACCAAACATTTCAATGCAAGGAGTCACTACCACTGAGTTATGATATTAAAGGAATTGACTTACCATTTCGTAATAAAGATATCCGATTTTTTTAAGCTTTAACAGAGCCATGACATTGTATTATCTACTTATTTAGGATTTTAATCAAAATGCATGGGATTACTAAGGTTTTCAGAATCTGACATCAAGCGGTTGGTCCGTCGATTCAAAATCCTTTACCCACAGCAGCGCGTGCAAAATCTATGCGAACTGAGGTAAACGTAAATCTGGCGTTACTATAAAGCATTTCGTGAAATGATTAATGATTTAATCAAAAGGAATCAAAAGGTTGAATAATTTGAAATTAAGGTATACTAACCTGGTATATCTTTTTTCTGGTATATCCTTTTGGCTTTGGAACAGTTTTGAGTAAGGTCGTAAACGTAATTCCGAATTCTCTTTCATGTGACTGCTGAGTCTGCCCTTTCGAATATGAAAATTACCGCTGTGTTCAATGATTACAGTTTCATATATACTGGCTGAGTAAAGATTTTAAGTGGGATATCAATTCTCAAGAGCTATGTAAACACAAGTATCCTTCGAGCAAGTGTTTTTGAAAGACAATACGAGGAAATGAGATATTCCGCGCTAGTGTCAAGTAAAAGCATTTTATGACTATTTTATATCATTAACATTTAAAAAGAATCGTCTCATTTTCGGTAAATAGAATAAAATATAGACATACTGAAATACAACTCCTTTTTTGCGTCCCGATGGGCTTTATTTTCTGTGTAATACATAAATAATTTCAACTCTTCCCACTATCCCTTTCCTCAAAAAAGTGTTGTTTCACGTATGCGCACATCAATTTCCCTTAATCGTGACTCTTGCACCACAAACGAGTTTAGTTTTAATTTAAAGTACTTAAGTTATCTTGGTTCAATTATTATCCTCTTTTCATAATATCAAAATGCCTTTTTTTTCTTATTATCATTATAATAACGTGGTGCGTTAGGAGTGCGGAGAAAAAACATGCAAAACAGGTATAACATTAGAGAAGATGTAATATTTAGACCGCTATCTTTTATAGTGATTTTCGTCTAGTTATTGTTACTCTATCCACATTGCCCCACGTTGGATGATAACGATGATGAAAACTGGATAATCGTATCATTGTATTGGTATGACCATTGAAAGCGCTCATATTCCGCGAGGCCCGTTCGGCTAAATCCGAAGTTGGTTCGTTAGGTTTCGTTGGTTACACATCTGTCATCGCTGAGTAAACAAATTGCCACCGTACCTTTCACTTTAATCCTATTATACGAGCAGACGAGAGAACAATAGATTGGCCTTTCCTTTCCTGCCCTGTTCATTCTTGGTTATTCAGGGGATTAACTTATTAACTTAGTAACCGACGCGTACGCTTACGTAAGCGGTCACGAGGCAGGTATAGGATACAGTAGTTCGTTACGTACGATTGGACCGTTGGTCACAGCAGTATTTTTGGCGTATACAGACGGGAAAACTGAAAAAGTCAAGCCAGCACATAACAGAACAGATAAGTAACAGTTTAAACAGTTTCTAGCGGCTAAAAAAAACACCAATATAACGGAGTCTAACCGCTAAAAAACCACCAACTTTTGCCCTAGCGCCCTGTACTGACTAATTTTTTTTTAAATTGTCAATGAGATAATCTGTCTAATTTTAATGTCATTGAACAAGCAATTTTAAAAGAGGCAATGTCTGTAAAAATCAAACATATTCGAAAATCGGTGGCCACGTTAAAAAAAATCGATTTTGTTCATATTTGGTCCAAAGATGTGGATACCACCCAAATAAACGTACTGATGTTCATTTTGAATAATTTCACTTTTATCATTTTGAACAAATAGTGAAAATCGATTTTGGCCGTCGGCGCCCTCATTTCAGCCTAAATCCGATGTGAAGGTGGTAGGTCTAAGAAGGCAAGAAAGGCGCTCGCAAATAAAAATGAAGCAAACTAGAGAAGATCTGTTTTTGGAATATGGTAAAGGAAAGATTAATGATTATTCTAAGCCAAAATGTAAATAGGGAAACTCGTTTTAAAAAGTGAACAGGAACGTTTTGTAAACTACATTTTTTTCAGGTTCTCAGACATTTAAATTTCACCCTTAATTTGCAAAGAACATTTTCATACGGCACCGGGTGTTCGGATTTATCTGAATTCCAGCCATAATACCATCAAATGTTAAGCTAAATCTTATATAAAATTCAGCTTGGACACTTTTTCGACATTAGTTTAAAATACTGTTACCTATGAATTACAATTTTGAAACAAGCATGCAAACACACGTACCGGTACGATCTATATGATACTTCGCAAGCCCCGTATACAACTTCAGAGTCCTAAAAAGAGTTACATTTAGGCCAGCTTTGGGACATTTAGACTGAAAAACACCGGGATATCCGAACTAAAAGATAAATTGTTTGATTATTGTTCATTACTGAATTTCGGCTTCTATAATTTTTACTCGTCGTATACTTAGACAGTATTGCGTAAATTACCTTTGATCCATCTGGCTCAAAATGAATCGGGCTGGAGCTGAGATCAATAAGCAAAATGAAGAGCTGTTAAAATTGATCTTGGGCTTCCTCGAAATGAAATTTATGAATCTAAAGAAAATACTTTGATGCAAAATTAGACGTAAAATAAAGTCATCCGGTCTCTGCTGAAGAGCCAATTAAAGGTAATTTACGCATTACTGTCTAAGTATAAGACGAGCAAAAATTATAGAAGCCAAAATTCAGTACTAAGTATGAACAATAATCAAGCAAGTACTTGTAAGGTATCATATAGATCGTGCCCATCCGTGAATTTACATGCTTGTTTCAAATTGTAATTTATAAGTAACAGTATTTTAAACTAATATCGAAAAAGTGCAAAAAAATACGATTTATTACACTCAATATTCAATCAACAAGTAATAATGATAATAATATCAAAACAAATGTCAGAACTGAACACCAAGAAAATATATTAAGGATATTGTTATGTCTGCCTCGAACAGGTTTCGTCGGATGCCGAGCCCAAACAACTCAAATTTCTCTGAATTCGAGAGTTTCGTATAAAGCGCTCATTGAATAACCTAAGCTGAATTTTATATATGATTTAGCTTAACATTGGAAGATATTATGGCTGGAATTTCAGAAAAATCCAAAAAGTCGGTGCATATGAAAATGCGCTTTGCAAACTTATGGTGAAATTTATATATTTGGGAACCCAAAAAATGTAATTTGTAAAAATTCCTGTTCACTTATATAGCGTTTTCACGTGACGTCACAGCGGCCAGCATACCAAAACAATACATTTTCTATCCTCCGGGAATTGAACTCTATTTTTATGCAAATACTTTGCATAAAGTTTCTATTGTTTATGGCTGCCTTCTCACGTGAGTGAAAACGTTTCATTAGAACGCGTTTCCCCTATTTATATTTTAGCTTAAAATAATCATTAAACTTTCCTTTACCATATTCCCAGAACAAATCTTCTTTAATTTACTTCATTTTTATACACGAGCGCCTTTCTTAGACCTACGATTTTCACCTCGGATTTAGGCTGAATTGAGGGCCCCGACGGCCGAAATCGATTTTCACGATTTTCTCAAATAAACGTGAGATTATTCAAAATGAACATCCGTACGTTTATTTGGGTGGTATTCCACATCTTTGGACCAAATATGAATACGTAATCGATTTTTTCAACGTGGCCGCCGGATGTTTGATTTTTACAGACATGGTGCCTCTTAATGCCTTTACGAAAAAAAGCGAAAAACAGTGGGAAAATAAAGGGATATTCTTATTTTCCTATTGAAAAAATGTATCAAAAACCTGTTTTCCTTTCTTGTTTTGTTTTTGCCTTATTATAAATGACTAGCATGAAAGTTATCATGTACAGGTGACTAGATGGTGTCAATAAATACAGACTAAAATAAAATAAAGCGAGCTGGTGCCAAGTTTATTTTTTAACCTTCCATTTTGGTCCAGATACTTAAGTTTTTATACTTCATCTTCGTCATCAGTACTTAGTACTAATACTCTAAGTGAAATTGGTAGCCGTAAAGCAAACATTTACTTATTCCATCGAAATTCATCATATTTTGTTGACAGCACGGAAGATAAGTTGAGTCTCTTTTTTCGTAGGGAAATATAAAGCTTGAAGCAATAATGATGATGATGATAATAATAATACATAATCGAAATGCAGAACGTAAAACATGATTAAATACGATTGCTTAGCCACGACATTTTGTGGAAAATACTTCTTTAACTTGACTTTGTGCGATACCTATCTATCTGATACAATGCAAGATACAAGATACAAATATATTATATATATATATACTCTGGATTGCAGAAAGGTTGTAGTATACATTTATGCATATACACAAATACTAATTAGATGCAACAAAATGAAAAAAATGAATAATTCTTTACCCGTTCCTTAAAAAAAGTATATTTTTCGAGATGTTGTATCCGTGAAGAATATAAAATATTTTGTTTGAGCGCAATAAGATATTATTAAATATATATTAGAGAATTTTTAGGTGTAAAAGGTGAAATTATATAGATAAATATATTCTATTAAATCAGTTCTGGTACTTAAAAACCTTATGTATTTGACTTGTCTCGCATCAAAGTAAGGCATAATAGTAATAATAATATTTAAAATTTTCAATGAGATACCTACCTACTTTCAAGAAGTACTAGATAGATATGGCAGTGCGCCGTGTGGGATGGGCTCGGATATCAAATAAGAACATGCGTAATAAGTAAATTACGAGCCTTAGAAGAAACGACTGAAGAAGAGGTCCATAGAAGCCTTTCACAACTTCAAGTCGCGTAAAAAATGAGCCAGCTCAACTAGAAACTGTGGACAGCTGGTAAGGCTCGTAATTTACTTATTACGCATGTTCTTACTTTCAAGAAGGTTGTCTTACAAGAATAGAACACTTTTAATTTAGTAGAATAGTGATTTAGTAAATTTACCGATTAGGAATAATTTTCCTATTGTCTATCCTTGAAAATCCAGGTAAAACAATAGGAAAAAATATGTGTATGTATATATATATCGCTGAAGTTGTCATGGAGTTTTAAGGATAATATATCAGTCCCCGATGAGTAAAAACAATAGGCTGCCGCAGTTATCACGAGTTATCAATGCAGAAAGCCAAGCATTCATGCGACATGCATCAATGATATATCAACAGTACAGATACGAATTAGTAAAAAAAGCCAAGGTCGATAACGATAAAACTTATTCCATTCATAAATCACCAACTTACCTATTAAGCAAATCTAAAGCACTTTTGATGTTCAGCTTCATGATATTTTCTAGTTAGCACTTTCATTAAGGCTCTTTATGATGTCAAAATATGATACCGTAATTTGTTTGTTTTTTGAGGTTTTTCATGAACGCATCACCTTAGAGATAATTGGCTGTAATATATATGAGCGGCATATGAACTGCCTAGTTCAAACCTCAATATCAAATATGTTATTGTTCTAAATTATGCTGATTCTAGTATTTACGGTCGGGATGTTTTTTTCCCGCGGGGCTGCCTCCTAATGCCATAACCGACAATGCAATATGCGGATGATACCGAAGTTTTAGTTTACACGGTCGAGTTTTACCGACGAATAATCAAGTGTAATCCTACAAATTGAGGTTTTAAAATGCAAATGTAAACTAAAATCTGGGTAATATACAAATACAGACAAAAAATGACAACTATTCTTGATGTTTTTGGAACAGGTATTTACAGTCAAACCACCTCAAGTGTAAACACGTAGAGGTCATTAATGACTTTATAAAGTCAATTTAAAAAACGTTGTCGTCAACCGGCTCAAGCCTACGTGACAAGCCTATTCGTTCTGAATTAGTAATAAGATAATAATGGCCAGAAACAATCCATCAAATGCATGTCTTTGGGTTTAGGGAAAGGAAAACAAAGTAGTTATGATTCAGTTCACAATTTCGAAAATATGAAGGCATTAACAAAAAGTCTAGTTCGACACTTCCCGCTCGCCTACGAAGTTTCGTGCTGTAAACCAAGCATAACTAGTCAAATAAAATTATGGAGTCAACTCGGCTTCAATGATTGCTACCCAGAGTTCCTTTCGGTCCAGTCGCGTAAGCTTGAGCTGGTCGACGACAACATTTTTTGAATTGACTGTATGTGGATTCTTGATTTCATTATTCGATTTGAGCATTCATTAAAGGGAGAGAAGAGGCTAGGGAAGCAAAGATTCAGAGCAATTTTTTCGTTCGCCAGGTTTTTTTTGATGGGCCGCCTGATCAGATTTCTTCCTGCGCGATTATTCGCTGGTTTTCGATTGGCTGTCAAAAAAAGATCACCTGATATACCACCTTGGGGACTCCTTGTTCGCTAAATATCTGCTTTATGATCTCGACCACTGTGTTGCTTGTTTTTGCCTTTCAACATTTGTCTTACGAATTGGAACATGGAGTAGAAGTCGTTGCCATCTATGTAGAGCAAATCAGTTCCCACAGTGTGCCATACCCTGGTGGTATTTCCGTTACAATCGTTGGTTCTCTTGTATTTCTAGGTTGCTGTTCATGGCATGTGCAGCGGGCCGTAACCAGGACTTTTACAGGGAGGGTGCACATCGAATAAAATCGGCCATTGATTGTTTGAGCTGGGAAGGAGATGGATGAGCGGACCTTAAGCTTTTATGGTGGTCCCCACCTGATTACGGCCCTGGTGTGGTGCATGTTCTCGTGATCTCGTCGATCCTTTTGTTCATATTTACCCAGTAAACTGCATGCGAAGTAGCTATCAATTTTAATGATTTCCTCATAAATTATTAGATTTATTCATTACTTGTGTTGAATCTATTTCTCAATTTGAGATTTCTGATCATATTTTACTTAATTTATAGGGAAGCTTTCTGGTGTTCTTAGTTGTATACTCGACAGCCTCTTGGGCTTTAAAAGTGCCTATCCAACCTCGTACAGGATTTCTTCCTGATTTCAGAGCCCTTATAAAATTTTCGCTTCCGAGATATTCAATAGAAGTCACAACATAATAACGTCAAACCAGGATCATTGTGAAAAAGTAAAATCATCAAATAGAGGAATATCTCTGTTAGAACTATAGCCGCTATAGTCCGCTTTTGAGTCAAAATGAATGAAACTTTTTCTTTTTGTGGTCATAGCGCATGCACTGTAACCAACATAATCGACAAACAATCAACAATCAACAATCGACAACAACAACAGCAAAAAGACAACGACGAAGAAAAAAACAACAACAACAACAAAAAAGCCAAACAAACACGCAAACGCACAGAAAAACGAAGACAACCACAAAGATATCGTAGCTTATTTTTACCCTGTGTAGTTTCATTTCCCAATCAAAAACAAACGACTTTTTAAAATTATCTTCATATGGATTTGTTCTTCCTTAGATTTATTGTACCAACTCATTTTATCAGTGAATCCCTTTTTTTTTTAACTGAATCTTTTCATGTTCTCATATCTAAAAACTGCGAAAGTAGGTGGCTTCATTATGGAGGAATCGACTGCAGTTCATTTTTCTCTTATATCAAAGTTGGAATTATAACATAATGACTGATGTAGTACCATGAGTGGAACTCATGCATGCCAATTGATTAATTGATCATCTTGCCGATTTTGATTGGTTGTCATTCCACTTAATTGATTTATTTCTCTGGATACTCTTATTTTTATTTCCTTTATCTCACCCTCTCCCCACCCCCCTCATATTTCAGTCTAAAAGGAGACAACATTGTTCGATCTAAGGTTTAGATATACAACCGACAAGGCTTTTTTGAACGTTTTTTAATTTGAACTAGGTGTATACAATAGTTTTGATAAAAGCTACCGACCTAATTCATATTAATGCATTAAGTATATAGGTATCTCTTAATATTTCCCACTTGACTTGAGTAAACTCATTTTCTCTCCCGCTCATGCTCGCCATTTGCGCGCATCCAGAGCTTAGTACTAGAAAATAACTGTCGACATTTTTACTCACTGTTTTATTTTTTAATTTTTTGTATATTTTTATAGTTATCATATATTATTGAAAAATGCTTCAAGTTTCTTTTACTTGACATCGTACTGATAATTCGACTAGTTTTTTAATATCACATCTACATAAAATCCTTGTTTCTGAACTGAAGTGATTTCTTCTTAAAATCCGAAAACGTTTTACCATAGAGCTGAATGCTGTCAATTATTTATTTTTTTACTTCAGAAACGCGAATTTTTTATGAAGATTTATTATTAAAAGGAAATAACACCTTAGTTCTTGAAGAATTAATGAAAAAAACCACTGGCATTTTTTGAAAAAGGCTTAATATCACTCCTGCCAGTACGCACTTGTGATATTAAGCCACTTTCATCAAATGCAAGTGGTATTTTTCATTAATCCTTCTTAGTAGTTCTTATAGTAATCAATATCACTGTTCTTTTTATTCTGATATGAAGTTCGCATATGCCACATTGTATGCCAGCATATAAAATATTGCGAATATATGTATATGAAATTTTAAATTTAGCGTGTACCAAGTATACTGTGCCAAAGGCTATAGACGAAATTAGTAAGTTTCTTGAGGCATGCGTATTTAACGCGGAATTAAATAGTATTTAGAACACTCCAAGGTGGTACCTTTTCTCATGTTTTTAATTCAGTACGAGCATTATTCTTGACCGCAGGCCATTCCCATTCTGTGGCTGCCGTAATGGTATTCGTGGCCACTACAGATCAGTTGAAACGCAGGTCTACTGATTTTCATGTACAAGCGCCTACGAAACATGATTAAAGCGGAAGGTTTTATAAATTCATTAAGGTCTATTAATCTGTCATCATATTAGCATATATTAGGTTATTCGTGGTTCCTTATTTACTGTCCGTTTTTTAGATAAATCAGGTTTAGTTTCACAAGGTTAATTGAATACTAGCATGGTATCTTTGCTAGGCCAAACTTGATGCCGTCTAAATGGAAAGCACGATATCCAATGAATCAAAACGTCTGTCTTCCTGTTGCATGCCAAGCCAGCTGGAATGTAGTAATAATTTATTGAAGGAAAAAATAAACTTTCATTGCTTAGAATGCTTCATGGAACCGCTGCTCTTGAACGTTCCAAAAGAGTAATACATCCAATAAGCGATATTGAAAAAGGTGTATGCTAAGGGAAACATATATCTTGAGACCTTGTCAACTTTGCTTGCATTTTGTTCAATGAATGCAAAACGAACTAATTTCCTTGTCTTGTCTATTTTACTTCCACGTGCTATCCTATGTCGGAAACCCTTTTTAGAAAAGACGGTTTCGATGTCATCTCTTTGTTGATCGTTTTCTTGATTTTTCTGTTGATGCATACGATATAAAAATTATGATAATATACTTTTTTACGGATAATGCGGCCATCTATGCTAAGTTTGTTCGCGGTTTACCCCCCCCCCCCCCCGGCATCCCACGATTCAAGATGGCAATCGTATAAGCAAAAAGGTCTATTCCTATCTTAATTGGCAATAAAGATTAATACATGAGCAAAGCCATAAAACGTAGCGACAAAATAAAAATAAAAAAAGGCTGCTGACATGGGCCCAGTTGCTCAAAAATGAACCACGTATTTGGTTTGATTACCAAGACAAGCAAGCCTTCAGTCATATGAGATTTAATTAAAGACCCTAAAACACTAAATTGACTGTGAACAAATTAAAGCATTTTGGTGTCTTCATTCAAAAACACAACTTGGTTTTTCTCTTAGCAAATTGTGACGTGGTGTACGTTTTTGCTCTTTGGGCTTGATTATGATTTACTTACGTCTAATACATCCAACATGATTTCTTCACTGGTATTGCGGTTATCATCATTGTTTTTGGCTTTTCTCTTTTGCTCGCGAACAGCAGTGCATAGCAAAACGACTACATATTCCAGGACCGCCCCAAAGACGAATATGAAAGATACGATGAAGAACAAATCGATGGCTTTTATGTAAGACACCTAGAGGGAAAATAAAGAACAAAACAAAACCTTATGAGAATTCTTATAAAAAGTGCTCTAGAAAGCAGATTAATTGCTGAAGAGCTTGCTGAAGGTTCTCGTTATATTTTTCTAACCCAGCTTTCGCAGTCTCACGTTCAAGTAGTACTTGGTTGAGTTACCTGTGGAACACATAACTTAAATTCTTAAGAGAGTAGCACTCATAGCAACTAAAAAGTATATTCAAAAATGATAACGATTTGGGAATCGAACCCGTCTGTTGAATCGCATGCAAAACGCTAAGCCACTGATAGGCCATCCGTACTTTTCCAATCCAAGTATTTCCAAATTATGAGTGTCATTGCCAAATACTGCTTTTGTCTTCTTAGTAACCCATGACCTCAGCTACCTCATTAGTCTAGTTAATTAGAAGTTATTTCATTAGTTTACCTTTGGAACCTGTGACCTGAACGATCCCATGAGAGTGACAATTGTAAGGACTGTCGTTACCCCAAGAGCTACTCTTGCTGGGACTGCGTCTTGGGATATCCAGAACGATAACCAAGATAACATAACTATCAATAAGGTCGGTGCATAAACCTGGATCAGGGAATAACCAAGCCGACGACTGAAAGAAAACGTTGCTGTCAAATGAGTCCATCGACCTAAAAATTCAAGCAAGAAGACAATAAGTAAATAAATATATATTATATGAATTGAAGAAAGGCTTCTGAAGGCACAAATTATATATACATATATACGACAATAACGATACTAAAACAATAATAATAACAACAACTCAAACAACAATAACGACAAAACACCAATGATAATAATACTACGAGCAATAATTAGGAGTTAGAGACGGATGTTAGTGATTGTTTACAAATACACGCACTTGAAGTCTGTACAGTGGGAGGATACATTTCCCAATATATGTTTCCAGCGTGAAGATATTTCAAGTTTATTGTACAGTCAGCAAGTGCGCGTTTTTGTTAACAAAACATGAACTTTAAGTCTCTAACTCTTTTGATATGCAATCTGAGTACACTGAGATACACGACTTTCGCCGATTCTGACGATGACAGACCAAACAAATATAAGCAAAAATATTGATAATGCGACTAAATAAGAAGAAAAACCTCAATGTATAAGCCAAAAATTGGGTAAATACATCGTAAACTGAATAAATAAATTTACAATTAGTTTCAGTCAAAGTTCGAAGAAAATAATCATCTTTCTATCTTTCTCTGACAAAGCTACATACGTAGCACAATTACATCCAAGATAACGCTGTGTTTTCGGAATTCAAAACATAGCAAAAGACCCAAAATTTCATTGTTTTTGTCTTGAAAATCGACACATCCCAATCAATTTGTTTTTCCTGTTTGATGGTATTGATTTATGACCATGTTTAATATATTTTCTCCTCTAAATCACTAAATATTTCAATAACACACAATTTTAAGACAAAGCAAAATCACTTGATCGATTTTTACCAATAATTTTGGGCAGCAAACAAAGATTGAATATTAATATTGAAAAATAAACCACCAACAATAACACGAACCATTAATAACGGCATAAACACCAGTAACAACAAGAACACGAACAACAATATTGACAAAAACACCCACCACCACCGCCAACAAGAACACGAACCATTAATAACGGCAAAAATACC